CATCGCGGCTGCTTGGACCGTTTTAATTGTTCCAAAACGGGACAATTAAATTGAATTGAATTGTCGAACAACATTGGGACGATTGAAAAAATCCAAACAGCCTTATATGTATACATACCTATAAATTATCACTTAAATTCATATACATAAATTATTACTTAAAATCAATATACGAAGATGTCCTGCATATTTTAGAGCCATTTTTGTATTTTAAAGTCCTATGTATTGAAAATGTTTAAAGATAACATAAGCAATTCTTATAAAATTAATAAGTTTTCACATTAACCACTTAATATTTAATAAAAATATGATTTTTTTAAACATATTAAGACAGACGTACAGATCTCACTTGAAAAAATTAAAATAATAACATAAGGTTAGCCAATAATTCTAAATTGACAGTAAACGTATATAGAAATATTCAAATACTATCTCTGCTATTCTTCGAATATTTGTCGATTTATCAATTTGATATGTCAGTCCTTTTAATTTAGCTTCACGCATAGTAAATATAGATTCTATATTTACTATGCGTACTATTTTCTATATTATAGAAAATGTAAAATCATTTCAATCTAAATTTTAAAGAACATATATAAAAGTCTATGTTGTACATTAATGGCAGCCTATATAAAATACATAAGTCGTTGATATTAAATAAATATAAATTGTTGCAGAAAAGAGAATAAGAAAAAAAATAAACTAATCTCTCTTTCTAATTTTATATAGTACATTTCCAATTTATTATCATGTAAGTTTCTTTAAAAAGACATAATTATATCGATTAATTAGTAAAATCTAAATTAATTTTTATATTATTATTCATTTGCGTAAATAAATATAATGTTTTTCATCTTATTTTACATTTTAATATATTAATAGTACAATAGATAAATTAACTAATATACCACGTATTGTTTACCACACTCGTCTCTCATTAGCCTAGTTTTTTCTTCATCTCTTTAATGGTACAAACTTTAAAAGATTAAATCGACTTAACAAATACACTAAATAAATTACATAAGGAAGAAAAATATAAATAATACCGATAAAAATACTTATCAAATCATAGACTATAAAACAATTCCATATATAGTGATATAAAAATATAATATATCATTAATTGCTAACTTTTGGCTTGAATTTTGCTAAAGTCTAATTTAAACATTCTTTTGTTAATTTTAATATGTGTATGACATAATGAATTAATATTTTATTTCTAATAAATAATTTCATTAATAAGTTCATTTTATTTATTTTTAATTAATATTTTCACATAATGCACCGATAATCATTTAAATTTATGTTGAGGCATTAATGGTCCCATATACACATAATATTTTGAAACAGGATCATGATTGTCATAAAAAGATAATTGATATATGAGTTGCAACAACATTTAGAAAAGCAAACAGTATTTAACTGTTTGAATAGATATAATTCTTCGTTCAAATATCAGAAGAGACAAGTTCAAAGAAAACAATATACATATACATATATGTGTATATATATATATATATATATATA